TTACTGTAGTGTGATGGAAAATAAAACGTGTAGGTATAGGTTCAAATTTTAAAAATCAATACCCTTACCAAAATTGTTAGTCTTTACTACAAACAATTCAACACGAAACAAGATTTACTCTCTAATATTAACATACCCTGTATTTTTAATTCCATTCGATCATTCATGTTGAACTTCCCCTTCCCTTCCCTGAAAAATGAAATAATATTAGTAGATATAAGCTTTTACGGCAACATATATTATTTTATATTATTGCTGTGTAGTAACTAGTAACCGAATTGTATATTATGTTATTGTTGTGCACAGTGCACACAAATATGGCCTAGTCATTCGAATTGAAAGGAAAAAAATAAACAAGAGAAATTCATGACATTCACACAGAACACATTTATTCTTGTTTTGATGTTTGATTTTGGTATCTCGAGCAGTAATATCATTACGTACTATCGTTTCGAGTGCTATTAGAGTTTCACAGCGGTTGCTTTATATAGTATAATACACTATATTATACGTTTATTTAACGTACATATCATTCGTCGCTATGATATGGAATCATTGCCATGATACCATAATAATATAGGGTAATTTACCAAGCCTGATCATCATCGTTTTTTCCTTATCAATTTGTTCAAACTATATGATTTTTCATATTTCAATATTTAAATACTCATAAACACTATATATAATATTATGTTCTATATGCGTAATAACATAAGCGGCCGATAAACAAAAACGGGTTTATTACGTTATTATATGAAAAATATGTAACGCGTCGCTTACGATGTAATAATAATAAATATGATATGCGTATATATACTGGAGGCATGGCCAGACATTGTTATATATTTTTACAGTGGATATGGTATAGGTAAATATAATAGTATTGAACTTTAATCTGAAAAATAWACGAGAATTAATGAGAAACTTTGCAGGACATATCGTTTATATTGAAATATTAGTTGTAGCGAAACATCGGTAAATAAAGATTTAGTAATTCCAAAGTTTCGGAATATCTCAAACATCAGTGAGGTAATTTAGATCACATAAATTTTGGTGTACTTTTCAATAGGTATTTAATCCTCTTTTTCTACCATCCGTCGACGATGGTCCCAAACTTCTAATACAATAGTAAAGCGTGTTGAGGTTTCACCAAAACWAAAAAAAAAAAATTCAATTTAATATCTATTTATTATATAATACGTATCTATAAAAGCTCAAGACTGAGTGTCTGAATATGGTTATATTATTGGGTTTCGAGTTTTGACATAATATAATAAATGATAATAACTTAAAACACTATCTTATGATTATAATATTGGTTACTAGATTTATATTATTGAGTCGTTTAATGTTTATTATAATAATAATATGTTTAAAAATATAATTCAACGTAAAACCAGTAACCACTAAGCTTCACAAACTTGAATATCCCGTATATTTAATAAAATAAAAAATACATTTTATGTTGCATTATGGCATGCAACATTGTGTTACAGTTGAAATACTTAATTTGCAACCATAATTACACCAATACAATTTATATTGAATGCACCTATCGAACTTTTTGACTTTTTATAATGAAGTATCGAGACGCACACTGTAATAGAACCACATCAAGGTATCTTGTTTTATCTATTCAACACTAACGCGTGTAATATACGAGATTATAGTTCGAAACTCACAAAGAAGTCCATTTAATGGTGAAACCGTTGACCATTTTTGAAATAATTATGGTCTATGGAAATTAAAATAATAAATTATAACGTAAAGAACATTATCTCTGTTTGTCAAAAGCTTTTTAAATAATTTTATTTTTAAAAAGTAAATCAAAAAATTGTAAATAGGCAACTATACAAAATAAAAACCACAACATTAATAAAAGCTTCTGAAAAAAACGCAGATGATATTTTTTTTTTTATTATTATTAATATTAATAATACTCTCGGCAACATGGGCCATTGGGCTAAATAGATAATATTATTAATCTTTATAATTATAATACATAACAGTTATTATACGTATTATATGGAATTATGTTCATTTAAAAAATGCAATGACGATCAGAGATTTTTATTCTACTATTCGTGTGTGAGACGGAGATAACATTTTTACTGATAGAAGTTTATTACCTACCACTATTTTTTTTTACATAAATATTTTATAGGTAATATACTTATCATTGACATTCGTTTCATCATGTGTACACTGTATAGGTACCTATTATAATGAGATTGGATGAAGTTGTCATAAAGTGGGAGTAAGATGTATTGTCGAAAACATAAATAATATCGAATAAAACAAGAATGTTGTTATYGTGAAGTATTATTATTTATATTTTGTTGGTTATAAGTCACTTACAAATCAAACGATCAAATCTTAAACTATAAATTATAATAATATAATATATAATCCCTTTTGCATTTCCAGTTTAGCGCAAATTGGAGAGCTCTCGCGGCCTAATTTTTTTTCCTCCGTGAATATWGGTAGTATACCTAGCCATAATAGTTCCTATGGGAATTGAAAATATTAGGCGATATTAAATCTCGAACCATGACTGATGTCTGATATAAATTAATTACCTTTATAAATATAATAACGGATTATGTTATCTGACTCCCCTCCCTCTTTACCAGTTATTTCTGCGAACCTGTATGTCAATATGCCTATATATWATAATATACTATATAGCAGTGGTTCCAATTAGCATTGAGCCTCGAACACCTAGCTAAAACTTAAGTCAGACGTGGGACCCCTAATTTGTGATTACTTTCTTTTCAATTTTGTTTAATTAAAAAAAAAAATTATATACATAATACCTTCATTGTCGACCTTTTTATAGCGATAATCTGGTTTCAACAGTGATTGCGCAAAATACCAGGAATTACAAACCAATGCGTGTTTAAAAATTCTACTAAAATAAAATAAAAATATCATTTCAGTAGTACATAACCACGGACCCCTATGGGTCCTCGGACTACCAATTGGGAACCACTGCTATATAGTATAGATTATTACTACATTATGTTGGACGTTATCGTTATCTCGAAAGAATTGAAATCGCCTCGAAGAAGTCGAAGTTACAACAATTTTAAATTAAATTATATTAAATATATTCGTATGCCGTATGCCTGTACAACAAAACTCGATATTTCGATTTTTTCGATATCCCGATCGAACTGTTTTCCTGCGCGTAATATTCGACACGACGCAGCGATTGTGTTTATTGTATATAATATTATATTTTATTACATTATGACGCAAGTCACATACAATAGTAAGGCGTTCGGTTTTTATATTATATATATATATATTTTACTGTCCTGTCGCGTATATGACGTTTTTACTGTTATGATAGGTACCTACGTGTGGTTGCGATGCACACTATATATTGTTAAATCGTGTAGATCGTACACGTCCAATGTACGTGTATAATAGTAATATTATTATAGTCGTGTGTAATAGGTACCAAATCCGATACACCTGCAACACGCGCGTTATCGCATTTTTAAAAGCACTGCAACGTACCTACACATTGGACGTCAGTCGTTATACCTATCGATCAACCTGTACGTCCTGTACGCGTTCGTTTTTTTGACCTTGAGTTCAGCTGATTAACATGCGCGCACGCATCGGCCCGGACTCGCGGAAACCGATGGTAATCAGTCTATACCGCGGTCGGCGATGCGCCGTGTAAACAACGGCTATACGTGTAAGCGCGAGCACKGCACTCGAACACCACACGATTACCATAAATTAATAATAATACGTAGCCGCGTGATATAACGTTATATTTTGTCGTCCGCGCACGTGTAAACGGCGGGTTTCGCGACCATGTTCCCGGCCGCCGGGTTGACGGTGAGACGCACCGCCGTCGCCGCGGCCAGACCGCGTTTCCGGATCGTCGTGGCCGGCGTCCGCCACCGGTGCAGCGACGACCGGAAATACGCGGTCGGGTCTACGCGCCGTCCACCGGAACCCAAACCGAGGCGGTCGTTCGAGCGGCTCAGCTGCGGYCGCGGTGCCACTGACTTCTGCACCACCGTCGGTTATAGTACGCGCGCCGGCAAAAGGATCGTACCTTTCGTGTTGGCCGACATCGGTGAGGGTATCAGCGAGGTGACCGTCAAGGAATGGTACGTGAACGTGGGCGACGTGGTATCAGAATTCGACGACGTGTGCGAGGTGGAGAGCGACAAGGCGACCGTGACCATCACTAGTCGGTTCGCGGGCGCCGTGACCAAGATGCACTACGAGGTGGGCGCCACGGCCCGGGTGGGCAGTGCTCTGGTGGACGTCGAGGTGGACGAGGACGGCGATGAGACTGCGGCCCCGGAGCAGGTGGTGGCACATAGTACAGAGGAAGTCACCACCGGGTCTTCGGGTGAACCTGCAGGCGCCGACGCTGCAGACGGTGCTGGCGTAACTGCGCAGGTGCTGACCACTCCAGCGGTGCGCAGGATCGCCGCCGAAAAAGGTATCGATTTGACTACTGTCCGAGGTACTGGCAAAGATGGTCGGGTGCTCAAGGAGGACGTACTCGAGTTGGCCGACCAGTGGTCAGTCCCCGCTCCCAACCCTACCAGAACAGCGGTTGTCAGTCAGCCGCCGCCGTCGACGACGCCRCTGCAGGACTTCGTGCCGTTGACCGGTTACGCAAAGACCATGCGGGTCACGATGGAGGCGTCCAACAAGATACCGACGTTGGTTATCACGGACGAGGTGAATCTCACTCGGTTGATGGAACTGAAGGCGCAGCTGGCGCCACACATCAAGTTGACACTGCTGCCGTTCCTGTTGAAAGCCACCTCGCTGGCATTGGCTAGGCACCCGCGTATCAACAGCACTGCCAGCCCAGATTTCGGGTCGTACAGGCCCAACGCACAGCACAACATCGGCGTGGCCATCGACACGCCACTCGGGCTGGCGGTACCCAACGTCAAGAACGTGCAGACGCTGTCCGTGGTCGGCGTGGCCCGCCGGCTGGCCGAGCTCCGGGCCAAGGCCGCGGCTGGCAAGCTGGCGCCAGCCGACGTGACGGGCGGCACGTTCACGCTGTCCAACATGGGCTCGATCGCGGGCTCCGCGTTTCAGCCGATGATCCTRCCACCCGAGGTGGCCATCGGAGCGTTGGGCCGGATCAACTACCGGCCACGGTACGACGACCAACAGCAACTGGTTCGGACACCCGTCATGGGCGTGTCTTGGGGGGCTGACCATCGGATCCTGGACGGCGCCACGGTGGCCAGGTTCTTCAAGGACTGGAAGACGTACGTGGAGAACCCGTCGCTTGTGTTGGCCGACGTTCAGTTGGAGTCTGAAACGCCATAGTTGTCGTAATATAACACTGCCATCTCGTCCGAGGTTTTACACCTTTTATAATATYAAGATTTCTATTGCGTGTTTTTTATGATAAATAAATTACTGTTTAATATAAATATGATGTGTAATAAACAAAGACCGAAGTTTTATGCGCGAATTCAATCATAACCACTTAAAAAATTCAAAATATTAATATTAGCGTATTGACTTGAATACGGGAAAAATGTCATATYGCGTGTTATGATGTGCATATTAACTTTATATGGAAAATGTTTGAAAAACGCATAAAAATAAGATTAATCAAATTTCTAAACCGATATAAATTTTTCAACACCTATATATAATTATCAATATGGGCTTCGTTAAAAAATGTCAACTATTAATCCTTGAGTAAAAAAAAAAAAAATTCTAATTTTATGCACAATAGTCTTGACAATAAGTTTAAGTTTCTTGGTACTTTTTTAGATTATATATAGATAATAAAACAGGAGGAGCTGAAGACCGCTTAGTCACCGCTAGAGTACGGCACTGATCATAGCAATGGTTATTTAAATACTTATTCAGTTCTTCGGTGTTCAGCGGCACACCCTCTCGGTTGTGCATTATTTACAATATATACAAATAGTATTGTAACTATAGATTTGGATGTAGAAATAAATTGTTATATAAAGACATCAACATTATGAAGATTCGACGAGAGTGACATGATTAAATGCTTGGATAAAGTTAAATGTTGGTGTGCTAATAATAGTTTTAAACTTAATTTAAATAAATCTAAGTATATTATGTTTGATATTAATACAATCATAAATACAAGTTCATATCTATCTCTTTGTGCTCGTATATGAATATATACAGGGTGTCCCGTGAGGATTTACCCATTGCGATATCTCCCGAAATAATGGTSATATCGAAATTCTGGTTTTGTAATAAGACTCTCAGGGATAAGAACTATAATTATTTCATATTTTAATTTATTTTAATGTTTTGGTGAAAAAGTTAAGAAATATATTTTTTTATTTAATTATTTCCAACAAAAATTTATTTTTTTGAAAATATTGACGTTTCAAAATTTTATTTTCATTAATTTCCTGATTTTCAATATTTTTTTTTTAATTTCGAGAAAAATTGCGAATTATTTAACACCGTAATGATATCAAACATGTTACCCACCGCGCCGCACGCATTCCCATACGGCCGGCCGAATACTTTCCGTGTTCCTAATAGTTATTTATATATAACATTTATAATTATAATATTTTATTTCTTCAAAAGCAGAAAAAATATAAAAAATCGGGAAATTAATGAAAATAAAATTTTGAAACGTCAATATTTTTAGAAAAATAAACTCTACAAAATGGCCATCTTTAATATTTTTGGAAATAA